AATAAACAAAGGTATCCTTCTAAACACTCTTGCTGCCAAGATTTTTAGGCAGGTGAAACAGAATAAGATCATTTAAGAAAAAACACAAGAATACACACGGTACAGACTTAAGAAAATACCAGGACAGAGTAGAAACGTACATTCCTATTAATCGCTTTAAGAAAAGTCCAATTAAACTGAAAGGCAATAAGAATGATTTATATATTCTAAAGACACTACCACACAATTGACCTGTAAATTCACTGATACAACAGGTAAAAGGCTGGGTTCTATGATTCTACAGAGAGCCTCAGAGAGATAAACAGTTAGCTAGGCAGATGTGTACATTTTATTTGATACCATCATTCTTTCCAACAGTAGCTAACCACTAGCTGACCAGCATTAGAAGGATACTTGTTCAGAGGACAGCTATTTCACAATGTAACTATAATAAGATTTCTTACATCTTTCTCTGAAGATTTCTTACATCTCTTTCTCTATTCACCTTGGTCTGACAGATGAATCCCTGCCTGGTATAGAACAGTAATTCCAAAATTCCTACGAACCTCCTTGTAACACTGTACATGTTTCAACCAACCCCTCTACTACATATCAAGTATCGATTCCACCTAAGGCCAAACAAATCTCATATCCTAAGTATCCAAGATGGTCAGTGCAAAATCTAGGGCCATGCCTGTTCCAGAACAACAAAAGAAAAACAGCTTCCTACAGACTTTGAAGCTCCCAAGGCAAATATTCTATGCAATCAACTTTCAATTATTGATTAGACACATCATAAGGAAAAACACTTCTGCAGCTATACCATAGGTCTCAGTGGTGATCCGGCGCTGGGCATATGTGGCTAGCCCCTCGCTCAGCCACATCTCTTCCCAAGTAGCATTGGTGACTGCGTTTCCAAACCAGCTGTGGGCAACTTCATGAATGACATCAATAATTAGAAACTCATCGCTCTCCAGAATGGAAGAAATGATGAAGGTCAGGCATGGGTTTTCCATGGCAACAATAGGGAAGGATGGAGGAAGAAAAACAATGTCATATCTAAAATTAGGGGGGGGGGGGGGGAAAGGGGGGGGGGGGGGGGGGGGGAGAGGAGAAAGGTAAATTATAGCTATTTCAAAAGACATACACAGAAACATATTTTTTGCTTAGGGAAAGCTCTTCTGACAGTTTTGTGATTCCACGCACAAACTTTCTAGGCCAGTGATGCCTAATTCTTCTGATCAGGGGGATCACAGACTGTATTCTGTTGGCCAAGGAGCTGCACGCTTTGGACATAAAACTAGACGTTCTTTTCATGTGCAGCAGGTCCAACAGTTACCAGAAGCATCAGGCTCCCTTCATGTATGCAAAGTGATCACAATTTGTATGTCTAATAGCCAGAACCACCAAGTTTACTCTACATGCACTGCCCACATACATAGGCAAATCCTTGCCCCATCCCAAAAGGCTCCCAGCAAAAAGAGAAGCTGGGAAGCTGTAGAGTGGTTGAACTGATCTGGTGGGCCTGTAGGGTCAGCACAATAACTCTACTCCATCTGGTTCAGAATGTAACAATATCGTTTGCTTCATTTTCTAAATTTCTCCACCAATGATCGGCACCGGCATGCTGTGCCTTGTTCTCAGAGTATTTGAAACAACATTTTGTGGGTTTGTTTTTTTTTTTTTTTAAGGGGGAGAGTAAAAACAACAACAACAAAACCCTCCCCCCCACACACACTTTCTTCCTGCTTACCTTTAGGAAAGGAATATAGGAAGCCTTTATAAACATTTTCTCCCACCCAAAGAATGAAAAAATTCTCTCAAAAACATGCTCTTTTAATGCTATCAAATCACAGTCATGCTTAACTTTATGCATGATAAGCATCATTTTTAGGTATTAAGACTGTCAATGAATCTTTATGGAGTCAAGTTTTCAACATCCTCAGGGATACTTCAATAAGCGTATCACACATCAAGTACCAAATGAAAGGATCAAATCTAAAAATAAACAAACCCACTATACCCTTTAAATGGTGTCCAGCCCAGTGTTGGATCTACATCACAAAACACTACAGTTTAAAACAAAAAAACCCAAAAATCCTCACTTCCCTCCTCAGGAAAGATGCAGTGTTTAGAAACCTCCAGTTCTGCCCACTATACTCAGCAGAACACCACCCTGCTTCCATGCTCCCCTCTGTCAAACGGAGAGCCAAAACTACAGAGTTTGTTTCTGACTATTACAGTGTCACCAATGAGAGGCTGATTTTCCTGCTTTCCTCTTTGTAAAGAGGAAGCACCATCATTTCTTAGCTTACTTTATTTTGTTCTCATTACACATTCCTGGGAGACTTATTAAGCTCACCTTCCCCATATATATGGGCCATACAGACTCTCTGCCGCGCTCAACCAGCGCTCTACCATACCAGAAAGCTTGCTGATGGCTGTTGGCAGCAGGCAAGGCTCTGCCCACACTCTGCTCCTGTCAGAAAACAGAAAACATCACACAATACTTCCATAAACCAAGTTATCTCTCATACAGAATAGCCTACCTTCTTACCACGCTTCTGTGTATGAAAATATTGCTAAGAGGTCTCACCTCAGTCAAGCCTTCTTTAGGCTGACGATCTGTGAACACACAGCAAAGGATGATCATCGATTCAAAGATCATGCGAATAGCCTTAATACAATAAGGCAAGTAGCTGTAATGGCTAAGGGGGGGGCAATACGAAATATCTATGAAAAAGTAATCTCCTTCACCTTATAGTGCAAGGTTGTAAAATTCCATACATCGAAATAAAGCTCAAGCTCTCTGAAGGGTCACAGCTTTTGGTCCCAACTGTTCCCTTAGCAATGACTCAAAGTATTTACCACAGATAGCCTCGCAGCACTCCACAGGGACCCGAAAAGCAGAATTAACTGGCTGCAAATCTTACCTTGGACCTATGTCTGCATGTATAAGATCTCCTGCCACCAGGGCCACTAGGTAGGCAGGAACTGGATATTCCATGTAAAACTGGTATACACCTTCCTCTTCTAAGTAGGTACTTTGAGTGGCACTCATTAACACCTGGATGCCTGCTGGAGCCTGAAAGAGCAACATCATACACACCAACTCACTAGATGACCACAGCCAAGGAACTATATCATAGATCTCTTTTTTAATGTATATCCTTTTAGGAATGGATGAAAAAATAATAATTTCGATAACATATAAAATCTAAGACTTTCATGTTTTTTGGTACCACAATCTACCCCCTGTAAAAATGTATCAGTCAAACATATTAATGCTCAATTGTATGGGCACTCATATCAAATGATTTCATCTACCCAAAACGCAACATTATTTGATGCTGCTTTCATCAAAAAGGTGTTTTGTCCTCCCAAGAATTGTTTAAAAACACAATCTGACAATATTCAAATTTTAAAAAATTGTTTATCAATAACCACTGCTGGAAGTGAACAACCAAATTCTCTCTTTCGTATTATCCATTATAGGGTTATTTTTCCATTGTGGAGTTCTGAGAACGCGAGCCCCAAGTGTGACAGGCAACACAATCACTTTTATGACACTACTGTGTTTTCGTTTGAAGAACCAGACTACGAGATCTAAAAATCTCATATTTTTATGTCACTATATATCATAACTAATACAATATTTTATATAAAACTTACATACACAACATAACTATGCTTTCACAAGATAAGGGCAGCAAAGTGCCCGCTTAACCCTTTGTATCAATTCAGTCGCTTACCTTAACAGTAGCTGAATAGGTGCATTTCACTGCTGGTGTATCAAAGCAGGGGAAGAAAGACCGGTTACACACTGAGTGGCCCTGCGTGAAGACAAATGGCTTGGCGTTGCCATACGTCAATTCTGGATCCAGCCACCAAATCTGTTGGAACATTGTATCAAGAGGTGAGGGAAAGGCACAAAATGGAAAGGTGGAAGGAATGAACGTCAAAAAAAAAAAAAAAAGGAATCAAGAGGATTGCTAGGAAGGAGAGACTCCCCAACTGTTTAGCTAACCATTAGCTCCCCAGATGCATATCTAGCATAGGACACATTTCCATTTCTAAGAAGCCACCTTCCTACTCCTGTTTATTCACCACGACTGCTCAGAGTAACTTTTCACTGTCTGCACAGCAAGTGGTATTGCACAACATAACATCTTCCAGCCCTAGCCCCACTATTTCTGTTATATTGGTTTGCTTGATTAATAACAGGTCCCTAACAAACATCCATGTGACTTTCTTCTCAGAGGGAGTACCCTGAATACCTTCATGTTATTATTCAACGTGAACGGGAGTAGTAGGGGTCAGGTAGTGCAAGCTGGAAAAAAAAAAAAAAAAAAAAAAAAACAAGGCAGAACAGTGCACACAACATTATCTCTGACCCTGACAGTGCCCTTCTGGCTGAAGCACCAAACATTTTGACACTATGCAAAAGAGGCAGCATATGTAAGAAACATCTGGTTAGTGACACTGGAGGCCTCTTTTTACAGAGCAGATAGGAGATTCTGGGTGGTCACAAAAAAAAAGCAAAAAAAAAAAACCCACACCACTGAGTATGTCCTTATTTTTGGTATCAAACTGCAAATATATAATCAGTGGGTCCTCAGCAAATCATTAGAAGAGATTACAAATAATATGAAGAAGTGCAGCTATTTGCCTTTTGAGTTTTTCTATTTCACATGTAGTATTTGTGCTTTCACTTGCTCCCTGCCCCCAACTTTGAAGCGCAGGGAACAATTTTAAATAAGGATTTTCTTGTAATTCTACAACTCTGGAGCTGAACTTTTATGGAAAATTTTAACGATTATGAAACTTGCCATAATGTTGGAGCCACTGGAAGTCTTAGGAACAGTCAAGCACAAGGACTAAAGCTTTTGAGCCTGCTGAATTCTTAGATCACAGTAACCAATAAATCTGAATTTAAGGAACAGCAGTTAGCACAGACACTAGTTCAGTTCTGATCCTCAAGAGAAAGCAATGAAATACTTAGAAAGAGATGCCTGGGTATTAGGTCTGCTCCTGGTTTAATGGCGTATTACAGTGCTGTCGCCTACTGTCCCCAGTTAACCTCTCCACCTTCTAGAAGTCAGAGGCTTCTCTTCTCTCTCTCTCCCTCTGTTATTCTTTGTTATCTTCTTCCCTTGCCTTTAGACCCTTCTTCTCAGACACCGCTGTGGTCCTCTCCCAAATCATCTGTTTCAGCAGAAGCCCTAGGGATCAGTATAAGGTATGGAAAGGAAACCTACTTTCAGCAGCTTTCAGTCCTTCGTATGGAGGCTTACGCTTCCAGTAGGAAATGCTTTTTGGGGGCGAGAGGCACTAACACAATTCAAAATACTTATTTAAAAGTAAAATTAATCTCAGAGCATCATTCTCGATGTGGAATTTGTTTTAAAATTACCACTTCTGTTTCAATCCTTCAGGCCTATTTAAAGCACCCCTTCTCCTGACACACCTTGCCTCACTTACATGTGAGAGTTAGGACTACAAGACTATTCAAGTCCACGTGCTGTATTTCAGCATGTCACTGCCCAAATCCCTACATCCTAGATGAGGTGCCCCATATAGCTACCACCTTCCACTCTATTGTATTTCATGGGAATGGGTATCTTCTCTACGATATGACATTATGGAACTGGAGGTAGCTATTCCACAGGCCATTTGGGGACAAATGCCTCATTAAAATCACCAGTTTGAAACTAAAAGCTTCTGCCCAGAACACACTTTCACATAAAATGTAAGTTCTGTATACGCTTGCACTGGAAAATATTTTCTTTGAGGTGAGAGGCACCAACAAAACTTAAAACCTTTATCTAAAAGTAAAATTAATCTCAGAGCAACATTCTCTAGTTGGAACTTGTTTTAAGATTACCCCTTCTGTTTCAGGCCGGACATATCACAGAATCACAGAATGGCCAAGGTTGGGAGAGACCTCTGGAGATCATCTAGTCCGACCCCCTTGCTAGCAGGGTCCTCTAGAGCACGTTGCACAGGATCGCGTCCAGGCGGGTTTTGAATATCTCCAGAGAAGACGACCCCACAGCCTCTCTGGGCGACCTGTTCCAGTGCTCAGTCACCCTCACAGGAAAGAAGTTTGTCCTCAGGTTCAGACCAAATTTCCTGTGTTTCAGTTTGTGCCCATTACTTCTTGTCCTGTTGCTGGGCACCACTGACTATCCCATCCTCTTCACTCCCTCCCTTTAGATATTTGTATACATTGATGAGCTCCCCCCTCAGTTTTCTCTTCTCCAGGCTGAGCAGGCCCAGCTCTCTCAGCCTTTCCTCATAGGAAAGATGCTCCGGTCCCCTAATCACCTTTGTAGCCCTCCACTGGACTCGCTCCAGGAGCGCCATGTCTCTCTTGTACTGGGGAGCCCAGAACTGCACACAGTACTCTGGATGTGGCCTCACCAGGGCTGAACAGAGGGGAAGAAATGTGCCTTACTTATACCATGAGAGCTAAGGATCCAGGAAGGAAGCTCTGAAAATATGATGCTAAAGATCTGTCCCATTGCCAGCATTTTAGAAACACTCCTCCGATCAGCCTTTTTGTGCTCACATCACAATTTACAGTTTGTTTTGTTGGTCTTGCTGAACACTCACCTTCAAAAGGTTCTGTCTCCTTTGCTTTTTGAGAGACAGAAAAGGCCAACAAAGAAAACAGAGGTAAGGTGTCACTAGAACTAAGTAACAACACTAGAGTAGGAAGGAAAAAGGATTGACCGACGATGTCTTTAAAGCAGAGAGACAAAGGGGAAGTTCTCTCTGACCAGCACAGGAAGAAAACATAAGCAGGAAGCAAAAGGGAACTGGGAAGTTGATTCTTGTTTACAAGAAACTCCATAAATTAAGGACAATTTCTTTTCAACCAGTCACCCTTTATTTGACATTTGGTTGAAGTTAAACGAAGCACCAGTCTCAGTCCCACGGGCCAAGAGGAAAAAACTTGTGCAGAGGATGAAGTATTTTTTCCCTGTTTCCTAATGTCTGCTGCTACATAGCAAGCCTCAGTCTCTCTTTCCAGATACACTTGGAACAATGATGACAGTTATCCTGAAACAATATAAATAGATCTGTAATATAAATAGATCAGGCTATGCTGCTGGACAGAGGCAAGACTACAGACTGGCGAAAACGAGTAGAAGCAGCGTCGCAGAAAGCGCAAGTAGCAGGGAACGGCTCAGGGGAGTAGAGCAGAATCTGGGGCCGTATCACCTACTCTACATCCAAATCCCTCCTGTGTTCCCCCTAGGAACACATCATAACGTTCATCATTTTCATATAGTTTTTCCACGCCTACAGGAGAGTAGCTGTTTCAAACGTTAAAATATGCCATGAGAACAGCTAGGTTACAACTGCCTCTTACTCCTGCTGCTGAAAAAAAGGTGGCTTTGGACAGTTCAGGTTTCCCCCTGCCCCTTTACGTACTGCAAAGTAGTGCACAATTTATAGCGCACCAACCTAGAACATCATTTTTTGTTGGCTTCTAGTACAACTTTTTATGCAAATCTGGCAAATGCCAAAGGCAACTAGCTGAGCTGCTTTCAATTTTAAAATCTCTCCTTGTTACCTACCACCTGTGTATTATGAATCGAGGTCCTCAGAAGAGAGGCAATGCCACAGCTTCTACTCCAGTGAAAAACAACAGACTATTCCACCTGATTACAAAGTAAACTGCATATCTGAGATGTAGAGGTCATGACAGAAGAGGCAAACCTAGAGAGCAAGTCACTCTAAGAGAACTGAAGAATCAGGACAACTCTAATGGAGCAACAGGGAAGCTTCCAGCCCTGCAAAAAGGGCTAGCCTGAGATCTTGCTAAACCATCAAGATGAGGAAATGCTATCACTCTTCACAGCAGAACAGGCCAGGGTTTGTATTTAAGGCTTTCATGGAAAGAAAACAGCACTGGTGTTAATATAACCACCGCCAAATCAGAGGCACGACACAGTGGGAGAAGAGAGACATATAGATTTTTCTCTCTGGGTAAGGAAAAAATCTTATGAAACAATATCCATAGTACTGAGAAGTAAGAGGCAGGGGAGAGGAAGGAGGAGCTGGGCTAATCTCACCGGCACACCTGATCAGTGCGTGCCTTCAGCCCACACCATGAGAGATGCACAATGTTTAAGACAGTCTTCTGACGTGAAAAGGTGATGTACAGAGCATGTGGTTTCCTAACAGCACGGGGAGCTGGAACGCCCTGTGAAAAGCAGATTTAATCTCTCAGCTGTCTCTCAGCGTCCAAACACCAGTGATCTTGGCTCCTTCCTCTACATGGGAAATAATGGACGCTCCAAAAACATATCCAGATGGCTCAAACCAAGTTTATCAAGGCAACAGGATTCCAATTTTAAACAGACTACTATCTGCTTCAGTGATCTTGCTGCTAATATGTCTTTATTGGACATTCATTTACTGTTCTTAGGTCCCACAAGTATGCTAAGGGTCCCACAGAAAATAAACCCTGACAAAAAAAAAAAAAAATCATATTCAGAGAAAGGCCCGAGAAGATAGAACTTGTAGAAGAAAGAGGTCTGACACGGTAAAGTTGCTTCACTTGTACAGAGAAAAGAGACTGTGAGGAAACATACTAGGTGTGAACACAAACCGGCCCACCCTTACACGCACACGAGTTACTCACATCTACTGAAGTGCAACACTAGGCTGAAAAAACAGCACTGCCAAATAGCACTACAACAGCACCAAAAAGCTTTGGAGCCAAAAAGATGGCTCAAAGTGCTCAAAAAAATGTTAAGGAGTGGAACAGGTGCTACTCCAGAACAAATATTTTGCCAGTATCTACAATAACAAGGTGCAAGCTAGAAAACATGGCCCAATTTATGTCAGCAAGCATGCCTGCCTCTCCTTTTCAGTATCACTTGAAAAAGGG